ATTTTGTGTCCTGCCACTCATGGTCAACTTGCTGAAATCCATCTGTGTACAAAAGTGCTGAACTTACAGAAGGATTGTTTGGTGACTGTTGCTGTTTAGGCATGTTTAGGCACCCCACTGCCTCTCGAATGCCTTGCGTTTGGTTCCTGTTTTGGCTACAGAGCAGCCCAGTATCAAAGTCCAGTTGTACCACCCATCTAGCACGGGTTTGTTGAGGTGGCTCATCAAACACCGGTGATCTGGAAAGTGAAGCAAGTTTGAGATCTGCGCAGGTTTGAACCAACGCATCGCTTGCTTTGCAGGCTTCACTTGGACTAAAGGGTCCGCCATTGGCACTGGATCTCATGGGTGTGTCTACAAGGCACGGTCCTCTTCCGTCGCAGCACAGCTGGTGTTCAACGCGTCTCACCTCCCAGTTCCACTCGCGTTCCACGGAGGCAGATGAGGAACGCTTCCACCACCCAATTCACCCGTTCCTCGCGGTTGTTTTTGCGCTTTTTTTTCGGCGCGTTCGCCCATATGATTGTAGTTTGCTGAGTGGACAAAGGCTCCCTTTGTTTCAAACCATGGAGCTCTCTGCAAAAAAGTCCATCCAAATGTCACTGGGCAGCCAGACCTTTGGGTGTTCAGGACCTTTTGGTCACTGACCGAGGCCACCGGAACCCACAACTCCCCACTTCTCACCTTCACCCTCACCTGCCCCTTCTTCACTCTTCAGTGACGCGACCTGCGGAGAGGTCACGGCGTTTTGTCCAGCCGAGAAAGCCATTCGGAATCAGTGATGCAAAACCATTCAGCCGAGAAAGAGCGCGGAATCATGTGATTTTCCTTTGGGAGGTTCGACTCCTTGAGTCTTTGCAATCTGGGGAAACCAATTCGTGCTATGGAGCCAAACATCCTCAAGAGAGAGTGATACGTGGAACTGTACTCATGTCGATCTTGTGCAGAGCATTGCTTTCAGCCGTTTACTTTCCTCTTCACAGGATTCACATTGGGATGTTAGGTTTGAATTCTCATGGTGGGTGACCCCAGCTGTTACCACATACTTTGATGAGGAAGTCTAAGTGGATCCGTAGCATTTCTCAGCCAATTTTCATCTGGAGCGAGTTGGCACCCTGACCTGGACCAAAGAGCAGGCCTTGGACACATTCACGGGCAAGATCTTCGCAGTGAAGCAAGGCATCGTAGATGAAACTTGGCTGCCTTTTTCATGGGCACGGACGCCATCTGTGTCCAGCTTGGCGAACCACATAAAAGTGGATGACAGAATATGACAGATGGCAAAGTAGGCAGGAGCTGGACTCCCTGACTGGTGACAATTGGGTGGAGATGTATCAGGCTGAGCCGATGTGTTCAAGCCAGGTAGTGAACTGATGTGAACTGAAAGCAAGTGGGCAGAGAGCAGAAGAGATTCCTCTCCCTTGGGCTTCTGTCAGAACCCTGTGAGCTATATGACAGCAGAAGATCTATTCCCCAATAGTCGTAGTCAGGTCTACAGAGCCGAACCCTTCCAGACCTGCACAGCATGTTGGGCCGTATGTTGGCCCACAAAAATGCGCCCCTCCGAACTCCAGAACGAACGAGTTTCTCGAACTCCCTTCGTCGAAGGGACGACCTCGTTTCAACCGGTCGTCCCCCTCGTTTCACGCACCGGTCCAGGACCGGAATGAGGAGGACCGGAAGTATCGGGAACGCTTGGAGGCCGAGCTCACCATTTGCAAGGAGACGACGAGATGCGCGGGAGACGACGACGACGGGATGGTATGGGCGCGGATGGGATGGCGCGCGCGCCAGGTGTGATAATGGCGATATGGGTGGTGTTGGGGCGCTTGGGTGGTCAAGATTTGAGTGTCAGGGCAGCTGCAGTGGAGCACTTTTGGGGGTGCTTTCGTTGTGGTGTTTGAGCTAGCCATGCCCTTTATCATGTTTCATGTACCGGGGAATATATTAGACCTTCCTTCAACAACTTGCTGAGCAGGGATTATCCGTCAAGCCAAGCAACCCTGTTGGGTCGTCAGTAAAAGCACCTTCGGACGATGCGCATCGATGTGCCTTCTGACCGTCTTCTGAGCGAAGGTGGCGCTGATTCGTAGCTGCTATAAGACATGTTTCTCAGCCGCCAGTTTCCCCGGAACAGCGACGCAAGGACCTTCGGCATCCGAATATCGTCCAGACCCTGGGATTTGATAATGCCAGTGCCTGGGCTGAAGCAACGCATAGACCGGACCACGCAATTCACCTAGTGTACATTTGTAGAGATGAAGGAAAGGCCTTTTGTTCAATCTGGCGGCTTTTCCCATTCCAAAGGCTATCCTGTTCCGGTCTACATGACGCTTTGCTTTTGACGTTTCCATGACTCCACGGCAGAGGCAATCACCTGTACATCTATCTTGAGTATGTGTTCGGCGCCCAGAGAAAAGTGGCACCTCCGATGTTTCGGATCACCACCATGTGGTGGTGTTTTTTGCCATCTCAGACATCATCCCCATGGTGTTTGTCACAACAAAAACACCCATGAAAAAGGCACGAGAACATCACACGCACCCGAACCACAAGTAACAGATGTTAACAGATGTTAACAGATGACGCCCACACCGCATCCCACACGTTTGGGGCCGTCGTTTTTGGTCGTGTGGTCTCCGTGGTCGTCGATGGCCATGAAAACGGCGGAGCGTATGGAGCATGAACTATGAGGGGATAAGTTGTAATTCATACCTCGAGTATCATAGAAAAAAATCAGGCATATTCCGGAGCACACATCTTCTATTTGAAATGAATCTGGAAGGCTGCCCAAACCATGTTCAAATAAAATATCAAATAATTCCAGAGGTCAAAACAGACAACAAACTAGAGTAAAGGAGGAACTCTGGCAATATTTATTCTAATTGAACTGTGTGAAAACTGTTGATCTTCTTTTGAAATGGTCTTCTATTTGATATGTTTTGTGTCTGATTGTCTTGCCCACCGGGGACAAATCAACTAGAAGAAACACGTGTATTATATATTGTTTGATACAACTATTGTATGCTACAATTGACAATAATTCCACCACTGTATCTTCTATTTGATGCGCCCCTTCATCTTCTATTTGATCCTTGATCGAAATTGGCAAGACTTCATGTGGCAGGCATTGGAAAAGGCAAAAAACTCGAGGTTTCTTGCACGTTTTTCACCAGAGGAACTTTTGCAGAAATCAGACATTTTTCTCCCGGGCTAGCCAGGACTTATCTATTGCGCATTCATTGTTTCATGCATATTTCCTGGTGAATAACACAAAATGGTACCGGGAATAGGATTCTTTGAGCCCTCTGGAGAAGGACGACTTTGGACTGAAATAGACCCACCAAAGGACACTTTGCATTCTGTATAAACAAGGTTCGCTACTAGGAACAAGTGCCTCGCTACTAGTAACAAGTGCCTTACTAG